TGGCTCAAGTGGTAGAGTGCTAGGCTTGAGCTGAAGAGCTGAAGGTCAGTGCCCAGGCCCAGAGTTCAGGCCCCACGACCAGACCCCCCCAACCCCCCAAAAAATTAAAGTCTCAATTATTTGAAGTCCTAAAAAAACACAATGCTGTCTGCTGACTAGAATCCCCTTGCTTTCTTATCTATCATTCCTAAATTTCTAAGTTATCTATCATTCCTAATTCCTAAGTTTCTCTAATAAATTCTTGGTTCATTTTTTTTTTTTTTGGTTGGTCATGGGGCTTGAACTCTGGGCCTGGGCACTGTCCCTCAGCTCTTCAGCTCAAGGTAAGTGCTCTACCACTTGAGCCACAGTGCCACTTCCAGTTTTCTTGTGGTTTATTGGAGATCAGAGTCTCACAGATTTTTCTGCCCTTGCTGCCTTGCAACTGCAATCTTCATATCTCAGACTCCAGAGTAAACAAGATTACAGGTGTGAATCACAAGCAACTGACTTCTTGGTTCTTTTTTTGGTCAGTCGTAGGGCTTGAACTCTGGGCTTGGGCTGGGCTGGCTTTGAACCTCGGTCCTCAGATCTCAGCCTCCTGAGTAGCTAGGATTACAGGCATGAGCCACTGGTGCCCAGCTTCTTGGTTCATTTTCAACTGATTATCAGGCATCATAACCTTTCTAAGGTCTTTCTTCATCTATTACCAATTAGCCAATCTATCTACTTTTGATGTCACCCTTTACCAATACTCACAAAATACAAAATCTTGAAATTATTAATGCTGAATTCTCCCTTAAGAAAGGTGACATTCTTTTTTTTTTTTTTGAACTCTGGGCTTGGGTGCTGTCTCTCGCTCTTCAGCTCAAGGCGAGTGCTCTACCACTTGAGCCCCAGCGCCACTTTTGGTTTTCTAGTGCTTTATTGGAGATAAGAGACTCACGGACTTTCCTGCCCGGGCTGGCTTTGAACTGGGATCCTCAGATCTCAGCCTCCTGAGTACCTATGATTATAGGCGTGAGCCACCGGCGCCTGGCGTGACATTCATTCTTATAATCCCAATGAACAGCTCAGTACCTGGTACCTAGAGGGATATAAAAACCCTGTACTTTGAAATAAATATCATGTATTTTGAGTAAAACCTCACACAATGTCATTTTGGTTTTGTTTGTTTTTTTTTAAAAGAAGTGTTGTATTGCTATAACCTTTTAGTCCTCAAGTAAGATACACTGTTGCAAGGTTTCATAAATAATGCATGGTCAGCAAATACACACTAGATTTTTTTTCCCCTGATACTGAGTCAATGAGCTAATACACAAGATTAAAATGACACTTAAACTTTAGATATATGGGCTTTGAAGGGGACATTTAAGATCTGAACTATGTGTTCAAAAAATGAGTTGTAGTACGGTTATCTCTTATGTCTTATTTGAACACGCCTGCCCCTCTTCTGATTTCTGCTGTTAGCTGGAGTATTAGATCCTCACCAGAAAATAAGCAGATGTCTGCCATTTTGTTGGAATTCTGGGCCTCCAAAACCACTAACCACAATTATCTTTTTTTTTTCTTTTACAAATTACTAAATCCTGCTATGGCAACTGAAACTGGAGTAAGAGAACTGTTTTTTTTTTTTTTTTATTAAGACTGACCTCTTATATTTTAATGGATAATCTAACATCATAATTGTTTAGACAGGATTAGACTTTCACAATAAAATCAATTTCTATACTCTACCCTATCTCATCCTCAAGTTAGTTTTTGTTCCCTGCAGTATTTTTTTAACTCCTCATTTCAAAATTTAGAGAGAAGCTGAAAAGATACTAGAGGTCTAGATGTTTCAAACCCACCTTCTCCACTATTAGCATCTTTCATTAGGATGAGTCATTTCTCACAGCTAGTTAAGTATTAAGTAGTAAAAGACTTCACTCAACTAAATCTATGCCCTGGGCTTTATCAAAGAAAAAACTTAAGAGTGATGATGACTTAGTATATCTAAATAAAGAAATAGCTAAGCAGCCAGGTGTCTATATTTCTAGCTACTCAGGTGGCTGAAGACCTGAGTACAGTCTAGGCAGGAAAATCTGTGAGACTCGTATCTTCAATTAACCATCAAAAAGCTAGAAGTGGAGCACTAACCCTGAGCAAAAAAGCTAAGAGACAGTGACTAGGCCCTGAGGTCAAGCCCCAGTAACATCACAAAAAAAGGAAAAAATAAATTGCTAAATATTATAAAGGAGGTACATGGGTATTTTTAACTCCTCAGAGCAAGATTCAGAAGCAACGGTTTGGGTGGCTCAGTGATAGAGTGCTTGCCTCGTATGCATGAGGTCCTGGGTTCGATTCCTCAGCACCACATAAGCAGAAAAAGCTGGAAGTGGCGCTATGGCTCAAGTGGTAGCCGGCTAGCCTTGAGCTGAAGAGCTGAGGGACAGCACCCAGGCCCAGAGTTCAAGCCCCACAACCGACCAAAAAAAAAAAAAAAGAAGAAGCAAAGGTATGATTTAAAAGTGGAATTTAACTGGGACTTAAAGTGTAAAGATTTGGAAAATCCAATCTACCCTGCTAAAGGGTATTAAGGATACAATAAGACATGGCTACACTTGTTACAGATAAGTTAGGTAAAAAGTAGCCAGAGCCCATCACCTGTGCTCACACCTGTAATCCTAGCTACCCAGGAGGCTGAGATCTGAGGATTGCAATTTAAAGCCCCAAAGCCAGCCAGGGCAGGAAAGTCCCCTGAGACTCTAATCTCCGGAAGTGGTGCTGTGGCTCAAGTGGTAGAGCACTTGCCTTGAGCTGAAGAGCTGAGGGACAGTGCCCAGGCCCAGAGTTCAAGCCCCATGACCAGCCAAAAAAACAAAACAAAACAAAAAGAAAAACGTAGCCAGGAACTAATCAAGAATGGTATGTATATAGGTCCTCCCAACATAGTCAGAGAGACCTAAGGAACAGAATAGTTTTAGAAAATGGGTACTTTCCAAGGCCTTGATGCCCAAGGTGACTTCAAATTCCAATACCCTGATACAGTGTTCAGTTTTCTCAGCAGTTACTAAATGGGCCCAGGTTTGGCTTATGCTGTACTTTACAACTGTATGACAGGCTACTAAATCTCTTGAGTTTTTCCGACCTCAAAATAAGCTCTCTAAATATCTTTTGCTGATCCAGACACAGAAGTACCTTCTTCTACTTAATAAATATTGCTTATTACTAAACATCAGTTTCTTTTTTTCAGTACTGAATCTAAACTAGGGCCCTTGCACTTACTATGCAAATGCTCTATCATTTGAGTCATACCCCTAAGTTATCAGTTTCTATCATTATTTGGGCCAGGCTTGGTGGTACATTCATGTAATCCCAGCACCAAGATAGTTGGGCTATTTAAACAGCAAGACCCTGCCTCAAAATAAACTAACCTATCTCATAGAATTTTATAAGTAAATGAGATAAAGTACTTCACAGAGTGTCTGATACATATGAACAATTCATAAGTAGTACCTTTATTATTTAATTGTAGTTTTTTGGTGCTGGGGATCAAACCCAGGATGTTGCACTTGTAGGCAAGTGCTTTACCACTGAGCTATATCCCATCCCCTTTATTATTAAACATCATTACTGGAACTAAGATTCAGTACTTGTAATACCATGAACCATGTACAACAATAAACATGTACCAATAGTAAATATATAGTTAGAAGAAATCAAAGAGAGAAGACAGAATGGCTTCCTGGGCCTTGCTTCTGTACCTGGAGGTTCTGGAGCAGCCGCATCCTCCATGAGTTCTCCCTCTTCCAATTCCATGTTGCTGTATTCTACATCATTTTCTCCAGACCTACGAATGAACAAAAATAAAACAAACATTTGAATGTGTTGTACCTCAATGCATTTTATAATAATGGATAGTAAACCATGAAGTATCACTATATATTAATCAAATAAATAAAATAAAATTTAATGACAATAGCAAATGCTGATAAGGAGCCAGAGAAATGGGATCCCTAATAAAAAGCTGGAAGAAATGTAAAATAGTACAGCCATTCCAGAAAACCCTTTGTCATTCCCTTAAAAAACTGAACACGCAATTGTAACACAATCTAGAAGCTAACTTTATCTCCAAGAAATGTAAATTTACATTGACATTTGTACTTTTTTGGTCAGTCATGGGGCTTGAACACTGGGCCTGGGTGCTATCCCTCAGCTCTTCAGCTCAAGGCAAGCACTCTACCACTTAAGCCGCAGTGCCACTTCTAGTTTTCTGGTGGTTTATTGGAGATAAGAGTCTCACAGACTACACGGGCTGGCTGTGAACCGCGATGGTCAGATCTCAGCCTCCTGAGTACCTATGATTATAGGCGTGAGCCACCAGCGCCCGGCTTCTATTTTGCTCTTTTGCCCATTTATTATGAGTCCCCATTTAAAGAATGTTATGTAAACAAAGGCAGTGACTTAAAAGGCTTGGGTTCTTTCGCTCTGAGTAGTTCTCTGTTTTGTTTTGTTTTTTTGGGGTCCGGTCGTGGGGCCTGAACTCTGGGCCTGGGCGCTGTCCCTCAGCTCTTCAGCTCAAGGCTAGTGCTCTACGACTTGAGTCATAGCGCCACTTCCGGCTTTTTTCTTTTTTGCTTATGTGGTGCTGAGTAATCGAACCCAGGGCCTCAAGCATGCAAGGCAAGCGCTCTACCACTGAGCCACCTTCCCAGCCCTGAGTAATTCTCTGGATATAACAGCTAGGTTATATTGTGTATTAGTAGATACTTCTTTTTAATTGCTGGGTAAGAATCTATGTTTGGGTATATTGCAGATTAACTTCACCCATTGAAGGACATTTTGGATCTCTGAAGTCTTGGGATATTATGAATAAAGCTACTTTTAAAAGCCGAACGCCGGTGACTCACACCTGTAATCCTAGCTACTCAGGAAGCCAAGACCTGAGGATCAACCCCCAAAAACTAATACAACCAATATCAAATCCTGGTGGTGGGGATGTGGGGAAAAGGAATCCAATTATCATGTTTGTGGGAATGTAAACTGTATAACCACTGTGGAAGGAAGTTTAAAGATTCCTCAAAAAAACTCTATAGCAGGACACTGGAGGCTCATGCCTGTAACCCTAGCTATTAAGGAGGCTGAGAGCTGAAGATCACAGTTTAAAGCCAGCCTGGGCAGGAAAGTCTGTGAGACTCTTATCTCCAATAAATGACCAGAAAACCAAAAGTGGAGCTGTGGCTCAAGTGGTAGAGTGCTCACCTTGAGCTGAAGAGCTGAGGACAGCACCTAGGCCCAGAGTTCAAGCCCCACAACTGCCAAAAAACAAAAACAAAACAACAACAACAACAATAAAACACCCGGGCTAGGAAGGTGGCTCAGTGGTAGAGTGCTTGCTTTGCATGCATGAGGCCCTTGGTTCGATTCCTCAGCACCACATAAGCAAAAAGAATAAAGCCAGAAGTGGTGCTGTGGCTCAAGTGGTAGAGCGCTAGCTAGCCTTGAGCTGAAGAGCTGAGGGACAGCGCCCAGGCCCAGAGTTCAGGCCCCATGACTGGCAAAAACAACAACAACAACAACAAATAAACAAACAAAAAACTACTCTATGATCCAACAATACCACTTTTGGGCATCTATCCACAAAATTAAAAGTCAGGATACTATAAAGACATTTGTGCATCCATTTTATTGTCACACTATTCATATAGCCAAGTCATGGGAACAACCCACATGGCCTAAAACAGATTAATGGATCAAGAAAAACTATGTTATTTGCAGGAAAATAAATAAAAGCTCAGAGATTATGCCCTGAGTTCAACCTCCAGGACTGGCACAATAAACACATAAACAAAATGAATAAATAATGAAGGCAAGAAGGAGCAAGAAGTGTGGCTCAGGCAGTAGACAGCAAGCACACCTGCCTAGCAAGCTCAAGACTCAGAATTCATTCCCCAATACTGTTAAAAGAAAGATTTGAGAAATAAACCCATGTTAAGGGACTATAGATATAATATTTTTGATATTTTTTAAATATAAAATGTAATTTTAAGGCAGGTGCCAGTGGTTCATTCCTGTAATCCTAGCTACTCAAGAGCCTGAGATCTAAGGATCAAGGTTTCTTGAAGTCAGCCCAGACAGGAAAGTCTGTGAGACATTTTATTTTTGTCAGTCTGGGGCTTTAACTCTGGGGCTTTAACGCTGTCCCTCAGCCCTTCATCTCAAGGCAAGCACTCTATCACTTGAGCCACAGCACCACTTCTAGTTTTCTAGTGATTTATTGGAGATAAGAGTCTCCTGGACTTTCCTGCCTGTGCTGGCTATGAACCTCTACCCTCTTATCTCAGCCTCCAGAGTAGCTAAGAATACAGATGTGAGCCACAAGTGCTCAGCTCAGAGAAACTTTTATCTCCAAATAATCACAGAAAAAGCTGGAAGTGGTACCAAGACTAAAGAGATAAGAGTGCTAGCCTTGAGCAAAAAGCACAGTGACAGGACCCAGGCCCACAGTTCAAGTCCCAGGACTAGCCAAAAGAAGAGTAATTTCAATATTAAATTTAATTGTTGAAATCAGAGATTTGAGAAAAGAAACTGGTTCTTTATGTAGTCTTTAAGTTTGTTTATAAAATGTATCATAGCTAGAGCAAACTGAAAATCCTCCCTTATAAGCTAGCATGGAACACTCACATTGTTTCTTCATCAATGTCATTTTCCTCTGTGTTACTTGTTGCTGTAGAACTAGCAGAGGAACTGCTTCCATCGAGATGATTTACTTCATCTTCACCAACAAGATCCAGATCCAGATCTCCATCTGAAAGCTCATGCTAGACCAAAACAAAGAAAACATTGCTATTCCAAATGTTTCTACTCTCCGAACCAAACATCTAAGAATGAAGTAATTATCAGAATTCAATTCTCTGGCACTATCCCTATACTGCATCACCCCATTTAAAAAAAAAATCATACAACTACCCTGATTGAGAGCCACTAATTTGGGGTTATCAGTCCATCTGGGCCCTTAATACAAAGAAAAAAATGTCATACAGTCCATCATTGAGTTCAGTAAGGTTCCTCACAGAATAACATCTCAAACCACGACTACCTAGCCTTAATCTTCCCGTTCATGGGCTGGGAAGGTGGCTCAGTGGTAGAGCGCTTGCCCTGCATGCCCTGGTTCGATTCCTCAGCACCACATAAGCAAAAGAAAAAAAGCCGGAAGTGACACTGTGGCTCAGGTGGCAGATCGCTAGCCTTGAACTGAAGAGCTGAGGGATAGAGCCCAGGCCCAGAGTTCAGGCCCCACAACCGAACCTCCACCCCCCCAAAAAAATCTTCCCGTTCATTAAATAAACCCATCACCTACTGCACAGAAAAAAAAGGAACTCTATTAAACATAAATGTCCTACTTTCAGTTACCTGACCTACAAACACTATTACTTCTTTTATTCAGCCTATCAAACCTACATTCTAATCCCTATTGTCACCTTAATATCAGGAGCTTAATCCTATCATCTGTATTTTCCTCCCTTGCTGGCTCCTTTTTAACATAAAACTGAAGTATCTTCATCTTAGAAGAACAACAGAAAACCTTGCTTCTGTATACTGACCTTAACAACAACAAAAAAAAACAGAAAACTCCAAAGACTTTCTCAATTCTTATTCTGGTGGCTTTGCTAGAGCAAAAACTTGGCAGTTTCCCAAATCATAAATCATTCTACCAGAATATCTAACAATTAAGTAAATACTAGTTTTAGTGAATAAAATACCCTTTTTAAAATTCATAATTTAGTTTCTAGACTATACATCAGTTTCACAGAATATAGTTTTCTAAAATTTAAAACTAAAATACTTTTAAGCCAGATGCTGGTAGCTCACTCCTGTAATCCTAGCTACCCAAGAGGCCAAAATTAAAGGATCCTGGTTTCAACCCAACCCAGACAAGAAAGTCTGTGAGACTTTTATTTATTTTTTATCGGTCATGGGGCTTGAACTCTGGGCCTGGGTGCTGTCCCTAAGCTCTTCAGCTCAAGGAGAGCATGCTACCACAAGAGCCACAGCACCACTACCAGTTTTCTGAGTGGTTTATTGGAGATAAGTCTTATAGAGGGCTGGGAAGGTGGCTCAGTGGTAGAGCGCTAGCCTTGCATGCTTAAGGC